AACTAGAGGCAATGTTTTCACTGGTTTAGAATTGCAATGCAATGAACATGTGCTTACCAAAGAAGAATTAATGTCGTTAGACAGATGCTAGACCAGACATTATGACTTCCATATCGAAGCTGTAGGTCAGATAACCTGGTATGGCTTCTTGTTCGCAAGGGGATATTCAGTTTAAATTTCCGGACCAATAAGTCTGGAGTTTCTGATAGTTTTTCAGCAAATGGGTATTTACTCACTACTGAATGTGGCCTCATGTTACGTCAATTTTATTGGATGTCTATCAATCAATAAAAAGACACTTTCAAGCCTACATCACAAACAACTAAAATGTTGTTCCAAGTTAATTCTAATCTGTAATCTCATGTTTGTTAGTATTGAAAAAGCAGTGTATATTTCGTCGCACATTAATCATGTTGAAGACTATCAAGGAACAGGCGGACAAACATGTCCACTTGGTAGTCTAAGTATAGAGTATAGAGCGTGGATCTTTGCCCATGCTTTCTGTCACTGATGTGTCTCGTCCAGGATCCATGAGTCAGTTTGTTTGATGTAATGTGTAGTTACATCGGCTATACTCTTGGGAGATTATGTTCAAATAATGGTTTTTAAGTCCATCATCTCATTTCATATTCAATTATATGTATTGATCCACCTCTGCCAAAAAGTACTGGATTTTGTACTTATGTAAGACTTTTTAATCCGATATAGCATATGTCACATTTGATTACTTTCTGAAAGGCATTGTTATTCATTACCGTACGATTAATGTTTCGTGCAATGATTCGTTTGCAGGATGTGTTATATACATGGTTAGACTAAGTGTAAAACCCTCACAACAGTACTAGAAATGTTTAAAAGAAATGTTTAATCCTAAAATCTCATGATACATTTGTCCACTTGCTAAAACGTCCTTCATTTACGGTCTGAAGTTGCAGACAAATTGCACTTGGCATCGTGTTTCCAGTTGAACCGATATTTCGCCCATATTCACACGCTGCAACAGTTGTAGTGATGACAGCAAAATTATCTACATCATAGTTGAATCACCTAAAATACGGAGTTATCATAACGTGCATTCTGTTGCCTGACACTGCAGAGGTCAACACGCCCACTTCTGTCTCTCTTGAAAAAAACCCGCACCTATTACAAACAATGAAAAGGCTTTGATCACTTCCTGACCAGCAATGAGATCACGTTGGGTAATTGGTCTTGCAACCAGTCAGAACTAATGGCGATGTTGCACGGTTTCTAAACTGATTGTTCAAAAGAAAGTACACACTTGGTGCTTTGGGATCATGTAAAAACAATGTGTACAGGTTGCCCAAACACCACATATATTGTAACTAATTGCGACTTTGTCAGCGACATATGTTCGCCATCAAATGTAGACGGCTTAGCCGATGACTTCTTTGATTGGCATTCTAGAAGTTGGGTAGATGAAGAAGGAGGACTATTTTTATGGATATACAACTTCTTTATTTTGTATAGGCGACATTAGAATCTATGTCGAAACATTGCCTATACAGAATAAAAAAATTGTATATAAAATAAGTCTTCGGTTTAGTCGATGTTAACTGGTTAACGACATGTAAAAAAGTGGCCGATAGCCCGGATGTTTACAGCACGCAGTCGTGTCATCACTGTTCATGCTGATGCATTGACCCAACGCTGATCCTGCTGAAAACGTCACTGTCAGTATCCAGTTGTGCAGATGAAAGGTCAAGTGTATAGTGTACTCCCTGTGTTTTGAAGGTGGGAGACGGCGACCTGCTTCACTCCCATGAGCATTTTCTACAAGACACACCTAAATTTGCTATATGTAATCTTGAATTAATTATTCTGACTGCCTCAGTGTAAACCTAATCTTGAGCATCAGGATCCTTGTCTGTAAGAGTAGCTGGACCTGTAACATGCTGAAAAGAGAAATCAATGCACATCTTTAAAGAGCCATGTCAGCATTATCGGATGTTAGTGAGTGAGTGAGTTTAGTTTTACGCCGCACTCAGCAATATTCCAGCTATATGGCGGCGGTCTGTAAATAATCGAGTCTGGACCAGACAATCCAGTGATCAACAGCATGAGCATCGATCTGCGCAATTGGGAACCGATGACATTTGTCAACCAAGTCAGTGAAACTGACCACCCGATCCCGTTAGTCGCCTCTTACGACAAGATAGTCGCCTTGTGATGGCAAGCACATGGGTTGCTGAAGACCTATTCTACCCCGGATCTTCACGGGTCTTATCGGATGTTAGAGGAACATGTGTTGTAATCCTTCTGGCGTAGGTTATAAACACATCAACATGTCACATGTATTACTACTATACACACAAATAAAACATAAGTTTGCAGGAGACATCCTGTTTCCATTATGTGTGACTCAATGCAGTAATTATGTATAGTTGCTATTTAGCTCACCCTAAATCCACTTGCATCATTATTTCAACATTTTGTGAACACATTAGGTATTGTTTTGTTTGTTCATATATTGTTTAACGACGCACTCAACAATATTCAAGCTTTCTAAATAATCAAATCTGGACCAGACAATCCAGTGATCAATAGCATGAACATCGATATATGCAACTTGGGTACGGTGACATGTGTCAACCAAGTCAGCGAGCTCGACCACCTACTCCGGTTAGTCGCCTCTTACAACAAGCATGGTTTGCTGAAGACGAATTCTATACCGAATCTTTATATTCATATCCCGGTTTATCAGATACTGACGCTGGTAGGTTTTTCAGTGTTGGAAGTATGATTAGCCAGATAGTAGGAAATTGAAATGACAAGGATGTGGAATTTCAGAAATTGTTACTCAAAATATATTCCCAAATAAACACAGCGACAATACCCCACATCCATACGATGTATCTGGTGAAAACAGAGTCGGTTGTACACGTATACAATGGGTACGTGTTTATGAGGCACTATCTTTTAATACCAGGTGTTCACTGCCCACCAGCAACGGCTTCTCATGTGTTCACCGGAACGGATGGTACAAGTCGAAGTAGGGACTTTCATTCTTCAAACTGTTGTGTGGCAAAAACGTCATAAAGGGTGACCACTACCTGCAAAACATTTGCCACTATTCGCAGATGTTGTTACTAACGAAACAAATCTGTGTATTTTAATCTGTTATCAGTAACAATAAGTACACACATATCGTATTTGTTTTGCGGATAGATCAGTTATAGCCATGGCTAGCAAGGAGGACAGTGATGCAGGAGTTCGCATGACAGAGTTAGATTGTCAAGGAGGAGACAGAAGTGAACCTACACGACAGAGAGAATCATGGAGCAGACATCTGGACTACATGCTGACAATGGTGGGCTTCTGTGTTGCATTAGGAAATATACTGAGATTCCCCTACATTTGCAACAGGAACGGTGGAGGTAAGAACATATGTAAGTTATTTCCTATGATTCGTGGAGACAGCAAATTGTGATACATCTGTTACACAATTCGAAAAGATACACACGATCCAATAAACAAGCAAATGAAGCCATTTGGAAAAAGCTGTATTGTCTCAGGTCTTGAATTCCCACGTTATGTTTGATGAATAAGAGATGGATGTGTCTGTAGAACAACATTGCCGCAAGGTAAGGCTTCATCTTTAAGGGCGGGATCTTATTATACTCAATGAACGCGATCGCTAAGATGAGGTCTCGAATACATCCTATAGCATGTTGTATAAAGCAAATGTCATTGGAGATCAAACTGTATAACATGAAGTCATTCATGGATACTCTTGTGAACTGTGAACAGTGTTCCCCTTCATATCACTCTTCACGTCAGTTTGATGTGGAATAAACGCCTGACGTCATACAGGAATCAGGCGTGTATCACTGTTGTGAAGTCTACGAGGAACCTTGATATATGGTGGAGTTAAACCAAAAATTGAACCTACAATCCGGTATGATCAAATCCGCGAAAATTGCAACACGTTTGTGAAACCTACTCTGGTATTTGTAACGTAAGCTTTTGTTCCAAGCTTATCTTCGTTGGAGATGAGTGAAAATATCTTAAAATGACTGGTTATATTATTGTTCTAACAGGAGACATTGGTAGCATCCTGGGAGTTTTGGGATGGTGCTGGTTCTGTTTTCGGCATGTTTCTGGTTAACAAACGAGTTCCGGGTGTGTAAATTAGCACTTTAATCTAGTGTTGTTCGTAGTTGTTCTTTTTCTCACTTACAGTTATAATCAAATGACAAATTATCCTTTGAAACCCTGTGATTACTTGAACACATGACTACATATTCGCCCAGGAGCTTTCCTCATCCCCTTCGTCTTCATCCTGGTCACCACCGGGTTCCCATCATTCTTTCTGGAGACGACAATCTCGCAGTTCTCGGGAAAGGCTGCCAAGCAAGTCTGGAGCTTCTGTCCTCTGTTTAAAGGTCAATGACAATATTTTAAAGAATATGATTGTGAATACTATATACTAATTCTCGTGGATTCATATCTGAAATAAAAATGTTTTGTCTTTATAATGACGTACGGTTTTTGGTTATATTCGTGTGTCACATGTGTATATCTGATCCGATCCCTTATTCTCAATGGTTTACTGCCCATTGACGACAGGTTTTGTAGAATAAATGTAGTCCTTGTCAATGTCAAATTTGTACTCTTCACGATATGGCTGTAACATTGCCGATGTGATGTTTGGTATTCACTCACTCACTCACCTTATTCTCAGTGATTCATTCAAGAATCGTCTCCACTGTTTGGCATAATAACCTTGATGTAATCGGTTTGGGGTAGGGTGGGGGGTGTGGGGGTGTGTGGGGGGATGTAAGTAAATGCTAAGGTGTTGACGTTTCAGATTTGCATGCCTTTGACATGTTTGCAGTTTATTCTGTTTGGGATGAATCCCACATATTATATATGTTGAAACTTATATACTGTCTTCTTGTTCCTGAAGAAGGCGTATAAATATTTTTTTATATTGCCAAGCAGGAGTTGGTGTTGGCGCAGTTGTGGTTGCATTCGCGTACATGCCCTATTACAACCTGTATCTGGCCTGGCCCATCTACTACATGGTGAAGTCCTGCTCCAGCGTCTTGCCCTGGACAACCTGTGGCAACAGCTGGAACACCGACCTGTGTATTGACAACGTGAATACAACGTATAGCAGAAACAAGACAGCCCTTGCAGGAAATACGTCATATACCATCACCAAATCCGGAAAGTGGGAAAATGTGACTCTGGCTCACACACCTGCGGAGGAGTTTTGGCAGTACGATTTATTTTTCATGATAGTTTTAAAGAATGTATATAACTGTTTTGATTCAAGTTATGCAAAGACGACCATCAAATTTATCAGGGTCGGGTTGTACTCCAGAGTTGCGTCCCTTTGTCACGTAAGAATCCAAGGTAGTTCATACATAGCCTACGGCCTGCACTTGTCACCACACCTACCCTATATTTGTCTTTCAGCTACAATGTCTTGGGTGTCTCAACAGGCTTGGAGGATGTGGGGTCTGTACAGTGGCACATTCTTGGATGTCTCTTGTTTTCAACTGTCATAATCTTTATATGTCTTATTCGTGGAATCAAGTCTGCTGGTAAGGTAATGTTCGCAGAAATTATTTTTATCACTGCTAACATCTGTAACCTCTCTCCTTCCCCACCCCCAACCCCCCCCCCCTTAATCGAAGCGCAAATCCTGTTACATTAATAATCTGTCTTTACTAAGATTTATCTACCGAAACAAAGTCTGTCACATTAGCTATGGAAAGAACTCACATCAATGAATGAATGAATGATAGTTTTTAGTTTTACGCCGCACTCAGCAATATTCCAGATTTATGGCGGCGGTGTGTAACTAATCGTATCTGTACCAGACAATCCAGTGATCAACAGCATGAGCATCGATCTGTTCAATTGGGAACCGATGACATGTTTCAACCAAGTCACCTGATCCCGTTAGTCGCCTCTTACGACAAGCATGGGTTACTGAAGGCACATTCTAACCCGTACCTTTACGGGTCAATGTATTCATTTGATTATGTAGGATAGCCTAATCGTTAAAGCCAAAGACGATTCCCCACTTGGGTACTGTATGTGAAGCCCATTCCATGAGATTGCTGGAATAAAGGTAAAGCATTGTAAAACCACGCATTCATTTGATTATGTCTTTACTGGCTGCAGTGTACAAATATTCGTTATATTTAATGTTGCTAATACTATATGTCCAAGCTAATACTTAATCTATGAGCTTTCTCAATCCAGATCATATAGACGCCAATGAAGGTCACAGCATGTCCAATAACTTGATCTGTCCCTCCCTGCAGGCTGTGTACGTGACTGCGCTGCTGCCGTACGTCCTCCTCATCTCCATCTGCATCACGACGATGCTGCAACCAGGTGCTCTAAATGGCGTGTATTACTTTGTCATACCTGACTTCAACAAACTACTTGATTTACAGGTGTGTTATAATTGATGAAATTCTAAATGTAATCATAAATCACCGCTAATATCATGGTATAGCGTATTATTCCCAGTATATCATCAGCACGTGTTTATGAATCTCTGTCAAATATCTCTCCTAAAATGCTGAACATATCCGCGAAGAGCTGCAAAATTGCTGATGCGGTTTAAAGACACACTTTCAAAGAATGTGTATACCTGATGTGAGCCCTTATTATCAGTTGTTTACTGTACATTAACGACACGATTTATAGTATAAATATAGATCTTATCAATGTCAAATATTCTCAATGTGACGTCAAGTATTCACTCACTCACTCACCCACCCACCGATCATATGTTCAAAGGGAGTTAAGGTATTGTAAACTTCTTATCCCCCTGAGAGGGTACGTAAGTCCCTTAGCATTAAAAATATATTTTGATCAACCAAGTGTATAATCGTATTGTCCGAATAGTGTTATTATTTAACCTTACGTGCAAGTATAATTCTAACTGTGATAGTCTAGTTGCTTTACTGTCTTTTGACGACAGGTTTTTTAATATACATAAATCCAAATCTCGTCCCGATGTGGTTGACATATTGCTGATATGACGTCAGTATTACCTCAGTCACCCGCTCTATAACATTCTATGTTGAGACTATACCTGGCTATTCCGGCTGCATCAGAAGCTGTCAGATAAATATCAATTCCCTGTGTAAATATAGCAACACACTTCACATATATAGCAACTAGCAGACCATTCTACACTACTGAATCTTAACAGAAACAATGAAGCACAAACAGCACTGTCTGACGATCAATTACACTACCGCTTCACATAGGTGTGGCTGGAAGCATGTTTGCAAGTGTTCTATTCACTGGGAGTTGGAATCGGGATGATTGGCACTGCTGCCAGCTACAACAACTTCCATGAACCATGCCTGCGGTGAGTTAAAAACACAACAGAGCGGTAACATGACAAAGTATCAAACTGAAACGTCACATGATTAATTTATTAACACAACAGGATTGGTGATTACTTCTGCGCCTGTTACTAACAACCTCTTAGGACACAGACGTTTGTTTCATTAATGCAATGTCAAGGAAACTTTCTGTAGGTATGAAGGCCACCTTCACAAATTACCGGTTGCAATATAAGGACAAGATGGGTATAAAGCTGAATGTCTGAAAGTGTACAATTCTATAATCACAGAGACAGAGCATTCGTATGACAAGGTCTCGCAACGAAACGTTACATGATTGGCTGTAATTACATCCCAGAAAGTTGCACAAATCATCATTGTGAAGTTAGGTTTCATAGAGCTGCGGTAGTTTATGTTCCGTATTTAGGAACGAAAGGGCTGGATGTAATATGCAAATCTTTTCAACACAGCGACGTGTTAATATTTGTTTATATATTGCGTTATTGAGGCGATTTGGACATTCGAAATTTACGTAAGTTGATTTGCAACTTTACCTGAACCAGTGTAAGCAGTAGATAGTGATACAGTTGAATGCTTTAAAAAGTGTGTGTTTATATTCACAGAGATAGTGTCATATTGACGATTATCTCTGAAGGAACCAGTATCTTCTCTGGCCTGGTGACGTTTGCTGCTCTCGGGGTCATGTCACATAAAACGGGCGTTCCCATTGACACTGTTGTCACAGGGGGTAGGTAATTTTTATTGTATTTACAAAAACAACAAAACACCGATTTTTAAGAAAGGGAAAGGGACGTGTTGGTAGTTCTCCAGAGCTATAAGGCTCGTAAAACAGTTTTTGATCCTGATGTTTTTAAAGGAATGCTTCTTGCTGAAACAATGTTTCATAAATAGTTTTCCGAGTCCAGTGGTGTATTGTGTTTGGGATATAGCTGAATCACGGGGCAAGAGATAATGCCACGCCTTAAGGTCACAGTATAAGGATTTTAATCATAAGAAATAACAATGACACCCGTTCCCTATCCATAACAAATCTCTGCTTAAGGCAAAGTCGAATTTATTTCATTCCAAATATTTTCTGAGCATGTGCTTATGAATCACTATCAAATAGAAATGATACTCGATGTTCGCGACAATGCGGGCATACCTTGCCCCACTTGTGGCGCAAGTCATAAACAGATGCAAGGCTAGTTAATTGTTCACCGGAAAAGACATGGTAGCGTATATACAGTAGCGTATAGTACCAGTGAAAAAGGGAAGTGCATCACACATATTTTGTCACTGATACACTAAACTGTAACGTGTTCTTCACAAATCTACAATAAAACATTTTGAAAGCTTTACTGACAACTTGAATGCTACAACCTTGATCCAACAACATCTGACCAAGAGTCACGTGAGGCTCGATTGCACCTAAAAAGTTGTTTAATGTACACAGCAAAGGCTGGAGGTAAACCACTCTGAATGGATCCAAATGGGATGCACATAAAGCAGTGTCGCTTTCAAGTTCAGATGGGTAAATCAGTCGAAGAGAATTGGCTATTTGATTGCTAATAAACGATAACAGATCATCGATACACCTTAAGCTTAACTTAAGTTAAAAGTACTTTGTTTTCATTTACAATAGGCAAACTGTTTGACACGGATGAGAAATACAGGCAAAGTTCTCAATTTTCAGTGTTCATGATAATACTATATTGGGTAAGATACAAATTTCCGAATGAAAATGGAAATGTCCCAATCTCCCATATTCTAGAGAATAAACATGAAGTTCAAGCCTGTACGACAGTTATCCAAAAGGTCACGGCAATTGCTAATAGCTTGAAGACGCTTGGCAAGATTATCCTTGCAACAAAGTACTTAGTTTCAACATTCTTCTGAATATATTGCTTTACACTGCATATTACGTCTCTATTGAAGGTCCAGGATTGGGATTTGTGACTTATCCTGACGCTCTCGCACAACTTCCGGTCCCTCAGCTGTGGTCATTCATGTTCTTTCTGATGTTGTTCATGGTTGGTTTGGATACACAGGTACAATATGAAGTGTTCACTACAATGTTTTAATTCATCACGACAGCTGAGAAAGGAACTGTGGTTCAAATATAAAATGGCAGAATATTGCTGCCCTTTGGGATTGGTTTTTCCAATTTAAAGCAATTCTCCAGCAGCCAAATTGAGTGAGTGTCAGTGCCTGGGGGTTCGGGATTTCAATTTATAACAGTCTCCTTCAGTTTATTCTGACAGTAACTAAAAGGAGATATTGTCAGTTCCTAGGCATTAGAGCTTCCTGGTTAGATGAGGTCTCCATAAGCTTTCTGGTAGAAACCAAAACATCGCACTTGAATCATGAACTTGATCGAGTTTCAGATTCGATCATTCGATCTGGTTCAGATCTACACATATCCTGAAGAAGTCATAAACATTTTGTTTCTATACACAATATCAAACTGTGCCAGGACGCAAACGCACAAACAATAATTACTGATGGTTGGGTTCTTAAAAGTTCAGTGTATTATCTACGAGCAGCAATGTCATTGATGGAATATGTCCGAAGGCCGTGTTAAACGACATTTCAAACTCACTATCGCAACATTAACAATGAAATCCAGAGTAAGATATAACTGTCTGATGGTGATGTTTATGAACATATTACTGGTTTGCATGGAGCTATACCGTCCACTGTTGTCCTTCCAGTTCCTGAGTACTGAAGTCGTTATTACTGCCCTGATTGACCAGTATCCGCGGCAGCTGAGCAAGAAGAGGATGTTTCTAACAGGAGGATGCTGCCTGACAGTATTTCTGATTGGAATCATCTTCTGTACCCAGGTCACTATGCTTACCTGATGAACAATTCAGTAGGTCAAAACACCCAGTGTATTTAACAATGCTTACGATCCAGTGACTCATGAAAACCAATATTGAAGAACATGGACAAGTTGTAATTAATGAAACAGTGACTGTGGCAAGTTGTGAATATTCCAGCTTGGTCATTCATAGTAGAATGAACCCTGTTGGGAATATGAAAGCAAAGAGTTATGTATCATATCATGTATCTCTGACTGTAGCAGAAGCAGAAGCAGCAGCAGAAGCAGTAGCAGTAGTAGTAGTAGTAGTAGTAGTAGTAGTAGTAGTAGTAGAAGTAGCAGCAGCAGTAGCAGTAGCACTAGTAGTAGTAGTAGTAGTAGTAGCAGCAGCAGCAGCAGCAGTAACAACAGCAGTATTAGTATTGTGAGCAGTTCAATCAACACTTTATTTTAGTACAAAGGCCATCGGGCCCATATACATACAGTTTCATACATTATAATACAATTTGCATATATGTATACACGCCCATCTGCATACATGTATACAGGTAATCTGAACATACAATACAGGTTAATATGGATAAAGTAGATAAAGATATGATATGATAATACAAAATTATAATATGGTATTTAATAGTATCGGTTGTGACAGTGACAAGCGCTAGTAGTAGTAGTAGTAGTAGTAGTAGTAGTAGTAGTAGTAGTAGTAGTAGTAGTAGTAGTAGTAGTAGTAGTGACGACATTTACAGCAGCAGTATATGGACTGTATTAGTAGTTACATCAGCATATGTGGCGGTGGTAGTGGTTTATTGCATTAAAACCGTTGTACTAGTTGACGTAGCAGTTATGTCAACGGTAGGCGCATTATTTGTAGTTGCTGTGATAGAAGACGTAGGAACAGGGATCCTGGAGAAGGCAGCGGTACTGCCAGTAGTAAACGCAAAAGTGAGTAAGCGTTGTTGACCATAGTAGTATATATTGTTTGAAGGACGATATGAACTTGCTGACTTCCTGTTACAGGGAGGGCCGTACTTGTTTCAGCTGGTCGACTGGTATGTGTTGTCTCTCGGGCCCATGGTTATATGTACACTGGAGTGTATTGTCGTGTCGTGGATATATGGTGGGTACATCAATTTATCGGTATCAAGTGTGTATGCTTACTCTTAAAATTAACTCAATCGATCATGTAGTCATGATCAATTGTTTGTGTGTCGGTGGTCGTCGTCGCTAATCTTTCAGTCACTGAATTGTCTGGTCCAGAATGGACTTCCAGGTCACCATCAGAAAACTTTCTTTCTGAGTGTGGAGTGTACTGTTGTGTCGTGCATATATGGTGCATATATAGAGAATACTACACGAGGTCTCATTACATACGAATTATACGAAACGAGTGTCCTTCCTATGTTATCTGACCATAGGACGGTCACGAGTTTCGTATAATTCGTATGTAATGAGACCGAGTGTTGTATTTTATTTATTACCCACGTCTTACATGCATTGAATTTACAAAATAGCGTATTTTTGTTATTGTTATGGTTTCAAACCGAAACCGGTTCCATAAAGAGGTTGCGGAAGAATTTTGTTCTGTAGTACACTTTTGCATGACGTCACACTGTATTGACGTCACTACGCCATTCTCGTCTGTCCCCTTGGTAACCGACGTCACGATGCATGTCAGTTGTCATCTCCTCTCGTACAGCCTCCTATAGTAAACTACTCCGTAGCATCCCGTTTCTTGGTTTGCAACTGATTCACTCGGCAAACATCACTGGTGGAAACATTGCATTTATGTTTTTCGACGCATAACACGTCTCAGTTCGACTCACAATTAAACAGCTACACGGCAAAGTTCGCAATGTTTACCTTCCCACAACGCATCTAAGTTGTAGAATGAATGAATTCACGTGTTTGTTATGAATGAACAAGTAGTTCCGTCACAACGTGACCTAACTGAGAGGTCATCGGTTATCCAATCAAATCGTTAGAATCTCAGGTCAAGTCGTTACGCCACGGGTCAACGCGATACGACACTCTGTGACGTCCGAGATTAGTATGCAACTACCCATACGTTGACCACGTGGGTAATAAATCAATTTATCGGCACCAAATGTGTATGCTAACTCTTAAATATATTCAAGGATCACGTGGTCTTGATTTAATTTTGTGTGTGTCAGGGGTCACCGTTGCTCACAAGTCAAAACATTGATTACACAACAGTCTCGTTTCCTGCTGACTGGGTTCCATCCTATTGCGCAACTTCCTACAATAACCAGACCAGAACTTTGAGATCAATTCATTCAACTGGATACATAAATATTAATCAGTTTTATTTGATACATCTAAGCACGTGTATATTGCAACACTACGCTGCTTCTATTCCTTGCAAACACGTCGTGAGCGCGCTCTGTCGTACACCGTGCTCTCACAAACGGAAATCTGGAAATCATGGAAATCTCAAAACGAGGCTCTGCTGCTAGAAACGTTTGGCTTTCCGGTACGGACTTGATGTATATCAATCACATTGTGCGTTGCAAAACTACACTGAGTAAGCGCAAATAACACATAACAGGTAACCAGTGAGCCAGATGAATTGTGAATTATTTTACGACCTCATCAAACAGGGGCAATCTGTGACGTCTTAGTTAACGACATGCTGCCTACACCTGGCCATAAAATATAGAAATACGATGTTATTAAAGTTTAAAATAATATTACCATTTTCTAATGAAACAAGGAATTGGAATTCAGTGTAACCATAGTTGTTTGTGGTGTCTCTTTTCAATTTCACACGAGAAAATTTGGATCGGCTGAAAAGTAGGTCTTTGTCTCAATAGGTTAATGAGACTCATGTTTCTGTCCTAATCGTGGATTACGATATATATTTGTTAATGTATCTTTAAACTTCAAAAATATTTAACAAGAAGAATGACCTCGTACAAATAGATTACTTACGTCATCCATGGGGTAGAGAGCCATGCACAACCTATAGTAACATAGTCAGAAAGTTGGTATAGTTCACGTATTAATAGAATTACACAAAATATCCTGTTATGAACACTAACTTACAATGTTTGTCTTCAATGTGAACATGTATATGTTCCGCCAGGTATAAGACGAATCAGTAAAGACGTTGAGATGATGATTGGCAAGCCACTGCCGATGCCTGTAAAGATCCTCTGGGCTCTGATAACACCGTCAATCTTGACAGTAAGTACAATACAGTTGCACGGTACAATGATGGCGTTGAAGTCTCACATACACGTATGATACATACTTGTGTAAGTTTACATGTCAAATAGGCTCATCATTATTATAATAGTATATCCCTCATCAGAGTAGCGTTCTAACCACCACCACGTTGTATGTATATATATAGTCTGTTACTGAGTGTCCTTGGACCTGTTTCATATCCAGATCACTTTCACCTTGACACTTCTCCGCTACCAGCCACCAACCTACGGCAAGTACAAGTTTCCTAGCTATGCTTCAACAATCGGCTGGATTATTGCAGTGCTGCCCCTTCTACCGATACCCGTCTACATGGTCATGACTGTCAGGAAGCACATGACGACCAATTCCCTGAAGCAGGTAACTGACACTTGTTCTTGAACTGTATGGAACATAATGATGATATTAACATCAATCCTACATCGCAATGTTAACATGAAATGTAGATTACGCGGTGAGTTTAACTAGACTGTCCTACCCCTTGTCACGGGATGCCCATCTTTGCCCCCATAGTTGTTGTCTTGAGTAATAAATACGTTTATGGTTACCTACTAATTTTAAAAAAAACATTCTCTGAAAATTTTGCGATTGTACTGTCTTCCACTGGCAGGTATTTTTTGTATCAAAGTTGGCTTTTATTAATATAATTTCATCTTTTATAGTCACGATATTGGTGAAGGTGGCACAGTTCCTAAAGTATGGATCAGGTGGCGATCTGATAGTACAGGGCGCTAAATCCAACACCCTAAAACTGCTGATTTGAGTTCCGATTGAGCTCAATTTCAGTAACGACACTTGTCAGTGTTCTCTTTCAGAAACCTTGGACGGTTCTCCAGTTCATTGGTTTGCTTATGGTTCCCAACCGTGTCCGCATTTGACCGATGTGTTCAACACGTTAAAATGTTTATAATGGACACTTTGAACAGCAGGGAAATGGACATTTCAGTATTGCAAACTATGAACCGATAAAAAATCTGTTCGACTAGACAATTTACGTGTATGTGTTGAGGAAACGGCATGTCCTTGTTTGATACGATTCCCTTTCTTTGACAGAGTGTACATCTTTCCTTGAGGCCAGATGATGAATGGCGACCTGCGAAGTCCAAAAGACGGCAGGATTACATTGGTGATTCTACAACATAACAACCACCCCTCAATATTACGCTCGCAGTGCTGTTCAAACAAAGACGGAACTTTAACGTTTGAACGTCGTCTTTATTATTGACAAAGTACACAGATCTATCTAGCACTCTATAAGTGAGTGAGTTAAACGCCGCCTTGAACAGCAATAAAGTTATGTACATCGTGTCACCTTAATGGCAAATCCCAAAATGACGCAGGTCTCAGACGTTAAGACTAGTGAAACCAAGTGCACGGACATGGTGCTGAGCCACAAATGCACCAACAGATTGTATGAAGTGATCTGCGGCCAGGTGGCAGTTTCTGAAATAGCCTGAGAGTGGTCATGTCATCTCTTTTCAAGTATGTTCCTCAGTAATGATTGAATGTTTTATAATGTATTTGTATTAACCAGTCAGTACAGCACAGAGGCGTTTCTTTCGTATATCCCAGATCACTGTTCGCTGAACGAATCGTATTATTTAGTAACGCTTGTTATTTGTTACATTCTTTCAATTCTTCAAGACTCTATATTTGTAACAAATAAAAAGCCATATTCGACTTGGTACATTTCCTAGTTAGTGTCAGGTCTTCAGCAATACAGCACAATACGTTGCTTTGGTGATGCTCGGCTCAACGTGAAGAGATTAATGGAGGCGTTTATAGTGTAGCGTGTATGTGCTTACTATATGCTACAAACAGAATAAAGGTTTATAAACACCTCCATACAAGAAGTAAAGGAGAACATAAAATCACTTTTTAAAACGTTTCAAGTGATGCATTTGTGATCACACGGTACTCTTCAGTTGGCTTATAAAACTAGACATTTATGTAATAAGTCATTACATCCGAGGAAAGTGTGTATCTAAGAAATGCGTGTACGTAAAATAACCATACATTTCAATATGCAATATACTTCTTTGCCGTAGACGAAATGCCTTTCCATAGTAATATGATATATCTTTGATGGACAGTGTCCAATGTTCGATTCCGACTGTACCACAAGCACTAAGGCAAAGTTAAGATGGTGGGTATTCATAAAAAAGGGTATACCCCAACAAGCACGTGCAAATGCAGGTGCTCACCTGAACGAAAACAAAAGCATAAGCTAGCAAATAGTTAAAGCCGCACCAGACACCCTACTGGTCACTATCCTACTGCATAAAGGCCATATGAAATCTTTACTGAAGTCTTGAAAGTCCAAACTGAACTTCCTGATCAACAGAACAAAACGCCCAATGCTGAGGCTTTGGACTATCGCTCAAGATTAACGGAAAGTTGATAAATTGAAGGTTGAATGCTGTTATCCCTCTTGTCATAATATTATCGTGGGGTCACCTTTTTGTCACTAACGTAATGTGAACCAAGAGAAACGATCAGTGGAAGGGGTTTGGCTGTTTGACCATGATTGACCTATATTCGATCATCGAAGCTTTAGTTAAAGTGATGGCCAAAATGCCGTGATTGCTTTTCCCATTCGGAAATTCATTATGTACATGTGTGTGTGTATTATTTGTTGTTGTTGTTGTTGTTGCTTTGTATTGAATGCTTCCCTTTCATCAACATGATAGAAGTCATGCACATTTGTTGATATTTACCCTTATACAACAAGGTTATGAATTCAACCTGTCCTGCTTTGATATGACTGAAGCATTGTCTGACTGTGTTTATATATGCCAATTAAGACTATTTTGTTCTTACGTGATAAAACAGAGAACAAGATTAATTCCAGGGATGATACATGTGTGGTGAAAGGACATTAATCACCAAAACTATTACAAGTTATGGTGTGAGTTGGAACAAAAGGGAAAGAGAGTCAGTTGTCCTTCAGCAATCAGACCTGAAATCAGTGCATGAAACGCCTATTATTCCTTGCCAGTCAGTATCGTGTATACCTATAAAGATTATCAATGCACACCCAAACACGAAAATGTAAAATGTCAGAACATACAAAGTGGGATTCTTGTAGAACCTGCTCACCTGAACACCACAAGTAACTGGATCTGCACTTTACTGAGAACATAAGTTCTCTGTTTCAGTATATTTGTTGAAAAAAACAGTATCAAAATCTATCTTCTAACAAACAGTTCTTTAGTGATTTGCTTTGACTCAATCGAACGCCATCAACGCTATGACGAAGTTCGCTATTATATGGAGTTAATGAACCAGTCAAGCGTGATAATCCCCTAAAACAATCCATGAACCAGAGGCAAGACTTATATGCAATCAATACAATTCATGTCTTTATATCTTAAAAGGATATACATAATGTACATATATAATTTCACACATAGATCAAATGCACCACTAATACTTAATGCATAGACACCAGTGACAGAATAATCTTATATAATTTCAATATCAATAACCAGTCAAATGACCGACCAGGTCACATTACTCTTCACATGACACTTATCCACTTTCTAAGCGTCATTTGTAGGTATCAAGAGCACTGTCAGGTTGTCGGTACTTCTTCTTTCTTGGGGGGGGGGGGCGCTCTGGCACCATTGGTTCAACTGGACAAAAGCCCTATGTGTACGCCTGCTTTTTCAGGACGCTGATTGTCTTGAAGAAGGGCGAAACGAGTCCACACCTCCTGATAGAACAGTCCCTACAGAAACCAGACTTGTGAATCGACTGGTGTTTTTCACATGCCATGAATATATAATTTATCATAGATCAAGATCACAACAGTCCCGAAAGCCCTCAATTTGATGGTCTTTGGATATCTTGAACCAAACTTCAAACTTGGCAGTTATATACATTCTTTTTCAACATGAGCACCATATTGGCACGAATAATCTTTACACGGGAATGCGTTTTGACAAAACTGGTCCTCATAAAATTATCATAACAGATATATCGTACTGCCAAAACTCCTCCGCAGGTGTGTGAGCTAAAAACACTCAACGCCGCGATCATGATATTGATACCATGCCTTATCGTTTGATAATATGCGCTCTAATCTTCACAGTGCATTTGTCACTCTCTGCCCTCATCATATGTAACCAGCAGGCTATTCTCAATTACTCATTTGATAATTTTGTGCCGAAAGAAACAACATTTTATTGTGTTACGTGTGACGTCACCAACTCGAACTGTGACCTAATTCTGACTATATACCGTGCCTCTCATGCTGCCCATGCACGAGCTTTGTGTCTACTTGGGAACGACACGCTTCCCGTGCGAGTCGTCATTCAGCGACTGTTGTGCTCGAATGATGTTGAGACAAACCCGGGACCCGTCACACTTGAACAAGTTCAAGATAACTTACTCAGCGCAATTGAAAACATGAAAGCAGAATTAGCTACCGCCAAAAATGACCTAAGTTCACAGATCTCCTCTCTTCGGAAAGACATTAGTGCTATTAGTTCCAAGTGTGAACACCTCGAACACTCTGTAACAGATATTCGTGGAGATATAGATATCATCAAACAAAATCATGATATTGTGAACGACGACATTGATGCCCTCGCGAAGAAAGTCGATTCTGTGATCGAAAACATGTCCAACGTAGATACAGAACTAGACCGGCTGGAATCTTACAGCAGACGTGACAATATCATAATTCATGGTATACCCGAGGCTGACGGCGAGGAGAAGTCTATGACATGCAAGCAGACAGCGTTATCCACTCTTAACGAGCACGCTACTTTCAAGACGTGGGGAACGTCTGACGTTATCCGCGCACATAGGCTTGGCGTTAGGCGGGTTAATGCTACCAGACCTCGACCAATGATTGTAAAGCTGCACATGTCTGACGATAAGGTGCGCTCCCTGAAAGCAAGACCGGCATTCAAGGCAGCAGGACTTGGTATCTCCAGTGACCTAACGTCACGTCAACGTCAGCAACTTCAGGCTTTGAAGGGGACAAACATGTTCGGCTATTTCAAGAATGGCCAGCTGGCGACAGTACCTCGCTCAGCCAGTGGAGCTATCGGATCCACTAACGTACGGGATACCAGAGTTCTCACCCAAACGAGGAAACGGCAAGCGAGGCCGAAATCAACCCTGCCGTAGGATTCGGGCCGAGGCCCGGATCGTATCTCACAGGGTACTACTGACAATGACACCGGCATTACACCCACTGAACACAGCTTGTGCAACGAAACTCTCTCATTTCTGTGTTGGAATATAAACGGACTTCGTAATAAATCAGGAGATGATGACTTTATAGATTATATTAGAAAATTTAATATTATTTGCCTTCTCGAAACCTTTGTTGACTTTAATTACGACATGAATTGGTTGGTTGATTACAAAGTTTTTTCAAGTTCAGCTGTGAAACTGTCTGATTATGGCAGACTTTCGGGAGGTGTGTGCGTGTGTATACATCAGTCTATTAGCAAGTTTTGTAAGTTCATAACTACAGATATCGACAATTTGATATGTATACACATGTCAAAAGCTTTATTTGCTATTGATAAGCATGTTAATTTGATATGCACATATATACCACCTGAAGGCTCTCCTTATTACAACCATGTTGATACCAGTTGTAGTCTAGATAAACTTGAGGAATTTTTATTAGATATACAATCGGAACTTAGTGATTCACATACTGTTTTGTGTGGTGATCTAAATTCCCGAACTGGTAATGCAAATAACCCTTCAACATCCTCACGTGATGATATATTACATAGATACTTTCCATTTCATGAAGATGATGATGTTAGTGTTGAAAATCGGGGGTCTCACGATACATCTGCAAACAAATTTGGCCAGAAACTTTTAGATATATGTTACGCATTGCAATTGTTTATCGTTAATGGGAGAGTATATGGCGATTTACAAGGGGAATATACATTTTGTGCGAATCAAGGTGTTAGTGTCAATGATTATTTTATATGCTCGCCCGATTTCTTCCAGTACATAGGCAGGTTGAATATTGGGGATCGGCATGAATCTGACCATTTACCTCTTGAATTAACTTGTAAGTTCCCCAATATTAATCATAGCATGAACGATGATAACGGGTCCACAAATATCAAACGACTTGTGTGGAATGATAATTTTGCAAGCACTTTCTTATCGAACGTGAAAGAAAACATAACTTCGTTTGGAGGAATTCTACTCGAAACAATTGATACAGATGTAATTGGAGCCATAAATGACTTTGTGGAACTGTTATCGACTTCAGCTAATTGTATGCTCAAAAATGTCAATCGCAAAAGACCGAACAAATACTCTAAATACAGATTGTAGAAATGCGCGACGCAATGCTCGTAAACATCTTCGTAGATTCAGAGTGACTCGTAGTAATTATGATAGACGGAAATATTGCGAAAGTAGAAATAAGTATAAAGCTTGTTGTCGAAAGTATAAGTTTGATATGAGAATCTGCAGACAAGAAAGGTTAGAAAGATCTATAAACAGCCCGTCTGCATTTTGGAAAAGTATCCGCCATTTACAAAAAAGAAATACGTCCGGAAATAGCATAACTAAAACTCAATGGTTAAATCATTTCAAAGATGTATATTCAAACGGTGAGATATTAGACTCAACATTCGACGATGAAATTAACACTGTAGATTCCAATAATGACTATTATACAGAAGTAGATCA